AATATTTTAAAAGACGATATACTGTGATTGGTTGCTTAAACTTTCTCAGAAATGAATTCTGCACAGTATGCTAGAGTATAATAAACCTTTATAATGAACATTGAATTATTTGAGTATTGTTGTTTAAATTGGTGAGATTTTTCAGATTAAAGATTATTTAGTAGCATTTGTATTAAGGGTTTTGCACAGCTCGGCTACGGAAAACATGGTAGGGAGGGTAAAGAGCCAGTCTCTTAATGTAGACACACACCACACCTTAGTAACCCATTTATTTAGTTGAACAATAGTTAGAATCAAATGTAAAAGTTTATTATAGAGGGATTCTGTAATATATTAGTGTGATGGACGTCCAGAGTTTGATTTCCAAGAACCCGCAAGCATACAAATTTTGGAATAGAACGGAAGTGTTAGATGGGTTAAGTAAAACGAGTTCTAACAGGATCCGAGATAAAGAAGAGAAGCTGCCTGTGGCCTGCACTACTACCTTTTAGAAAAAAAAAACCGCTAGAACTCAATTGTAATGGGTATAAATAGAAAATGCAAATATGTTTCACATTTATAAACATCATGTCTGTCGACCAGTTTGGACATTTGTCTGTTGTTAAGGAACGATCAGAAAATGTGAAAAGACGTGGTAAGTATACTGAGGGACTATTCATCGATGAGGATGCTAAACTAAATGCTCAAAATGAATGTATCAAAAACGGAACTAAACCTTTAGATAACGATGATTTAGAATTGAAAGAATATACTGATGAGAACATCGGAAAGTTGTAAGAAGATATAGGAAATCTTTTAGCTCAAAGTATTTATTGTCGACTCGCAAAAACTTGAAGCTAAGAAAATAAAATTGAATTGTATAATACAAGTGCAGACCACGCTGAACAAATTTTTTCAAAAATTCTGGAAAAGATTAATAGTATTGAGAATTATGTCTTTATTCATTGTTTTATTCAATCGTTTTTTATTTATACGTTTTATCTTATCTTACATTAATTTAAGTACTAATATTTTTGTACAATGCTTATTTAAAACTTAACAAAAATAATAAATATATTTCTTACAAACTCAAAATAATTTTATTTATACTTTTTAAAGTTTTGATCATAAAAAAGCATCTTCAATTAGCTGATGTATAAAATATTTATTTTTCCATATTTTTTTTTTTTTTGAAATTAAGGGCTATCTAATTGTTAGAATAATAATTTTGTGTCATCTCACTCAAGTAATATGAATTAGATTCTATTTTTTATCGATGTCGTACCATGACTCTAGAAATTGTGTATCGCTAAATTTTCGTTTTCTTTTATCTTTGGATCAAAGAGTTTTCTTATTAACTTTAATCGTAGACATTTTTTTTTTGTGTGCCTTGGTCTAAAAATGGTTCAAGTAACAAATGGTGGCAAAGGGAGTAATATGCTATATTAAATGAAGATTCATCTTGATCTATTATGTAACAATAAACCTTTGAACAAAAACCTGTAAGCTTTGTTATGAGTTTACCATTAAGACATCTATGAAAAACCCTAAACTTTTGTGTTAACTCTTTTGATTTTATATAAATTAATTTTTTTGTCTGAATGGTATACCATTAAATTTAGTTGTACTATGAAAATTGAATTTCGAAAATAAAATTTAAGCACAATGTGTTTTTCGTCCAGTCATGATGCTATCCGTAGATTCCCATGAACTTACAAGTTAAATGTCGACTCTCCGTTGCCGGTTTTCCATTGTTTTTCCGTAAGCATAATTATTCATCAATTTAAAAAAAAAATTTTTTAATTCATTTGTTGCGTTTTGCCTATGCAAAGTATTTAGATCAATGTAACTTTTTAACAAAGGCTTTTGTAAAAACTGAACTCCTCTATGGATCTATTTCAGTACTAACCCATTCTGAACATTGTTGCAAATTCCTATAATGTATTACATAATTTTTCTAATATCCCAGATCAGCAATTAATTTTTTTTCCTTATCTTCCTTTGAGGCCAGGCAAAATATGACGGACTTAATGAAAGATCATTATAAAGGTTATAGGATATGTCCGCGCCAAGGAGGCGCTACTGTGAACGATTAGTGGTTAACAGACGAGAGCAGTTACGTCCAGATGGCCTCTCATCTCGCTCTCGGACTGTTAACAGTCTCCACCCCCGCTCTCCTAACATTAGATTTAAGTTCAAGCTGTTAGTTCTAAGTTACCACTCCAAGAATGCCCACGCTGCGGCTAATAAATTGAATTTCAAGTGAAACGAAGTACAAGTCAGTTTTTCTGTGCCCTGCATATTGCATCCAGGAATTTCTCCACCACAATCGTGAAGAACCCAGGAAAGCCGCCACCCTCCATTTCATGATCCATCGGCCGGATATTTTCAAGAGGTTACGAGTTCCAGCGTTCAGCGGTTCCGAGTTCCGAGTTCTTCAAAAAATCCAAGATAAGTACGAATTTTCCATATTTCCATTGCCGACAATCGGCCATTTCCATCGTGCATACGATCGCCATATTCCGGCTTCTTTTTCGTATTTGCCATTTCCATACATATTCGTATTCATATACACATACTTCCATTCGAGTTGCACCCATCAACATTTCTACAGCGACATTTACATACAGTCCACATTATCTCCAATTTCCAAAATTATTACAAATTACAAATTTAAAATTGCAATTTACACACATGTATTTCCGAGTTCCCACAAACACACAAATCATACGCCCATACATACACACATATAACCCTGATGCATGCTTATTTTTTTTTTTTTTTTTTTATTAAATAAGCTTAAATATATACAAGAATATAAGTGGTAGAAGAAGAGAAGAGGTAGAAAAAGTTCCGATCCCGCGGGACTGCCGCAAAGCTATACTTCGCGGGACGGATGGCGGTCAGGTTGCCGCTCGTCCTTATAACTCCATGCGTCGACTCCGTTCTCGACGCCTAAGATCCTTCAGGATGCCAGCGGCCATGTTGGCTATCGCGTCCCACTTGCTTTGATCTTCCAGCATGCAGCTGATCACGTTGTCCGCTGTCAGGTTACATACGGTTGTCGTTTCAGCTTCGGCTCGGTTCCTATCGTATAGGGGGCAGATGAATAGCGCGTGCTCCGCGTCTTCGATGCTTCCTGTGCCGCAGTGGTCGCAGTAGGGGTTTGGCTCGTGCTTAAACCTATGCAGGTATTCCTTAAAGCATCCGTGCCCGGAGATCATCTACGTGACGTAGAAGTCTACCTGTCCGTGTCGTCTCTGCAGCCAGGGTGTTAGACTGGGAATTAGCCTGTGCGTCCACCGCCCTGTGGTCGCATTGTTCCACCTCATTTGCCATGCCTCGATCGTGTTACCGCGTTGGGTCCTGCTTCCTCTGCTCCCAGTTCTTCGTTCTGCCGCCAGCAGGTCTATCGGTATAGTACCGGCTACCACTAGCGCGGCTTCCTCAGATACCGTGCAGAAGCTGCTTGCATTCTTATGAATGTACGTACATGTGCCTGGCCATCTCAACATATGTACCTAAGGGAAAAAGTCACGTAGCGCAACGTAAGGCAACGTAAGCACGGTAATCCACGTACCTTTTTTCGCGGTACACCCTACAAATATTTCGAAAGCGACATTTACATACAGTCCATATTATTTATAATATCCAAATATAAAACGGACCATTTAAGCACATATATTTCCAAGTTCCCACAAACACACATATCCATACGTCCATACATACACACATATAATCCTAATGCATGCTTATTAATATACGTACATATGCCGGCCCGCTGCATCATATGTACACAAGGAGAAACGCACATAGGTTCATACGGTACACCCTACAAAAGTTTCAACAACGATATTTATTATATGTATAACAATATTACCTAAAATCAAAATAACCTGATTCCACCGAACCCTTAAACACGACACGCCTTTCCAACTTGAATGATATTTATTTGAGCAGCGGTAATTCGCATCCAGCGGTTATTCACATCCATTAAATAAAAATAAATAAATACTTTTTTTTGCAAGCCGTGACGGTGCGAAATAGATATTTATTTTCCTATTCCTAGCGCTCATTTCCGCAGCACAGCAAACAACGGCAAATATCCCTTCAGTTCTGCAGTAGGGACGCGGTGACATGGCTCAAGGCAAAAAGCTTTTTTTGTTTTTTTTTTGTGCCTAAAACGCTGTGCCGCTGTTGACGTCAGCAGAGCAGTCGGCGCAGCGTAGAAGACTGCCCACGAAAACGATCGTGCAACAAAGAGAGGCAGATACTCGGATATTTCCCTCTCTTTCTTGTCTTATAATCTGCCTGCACTCCGTGCTCGCAGAGACAAATTTCGGCCGGTCCGTTATTTTTTTTTGCGTCTCTCCGTTATGTTCGGCTAGCGACTAATATTTCGGCGGAAAAATTTTCGTGGAGCAGCGACATGTGAATGCCCTAATATTTTAGGAGCATTATTGTGTATCGAAAATATACAACTTATATTGTTTTATAAAAGTTAATTATTTGATTATAGTAAAATTAAGTAATTTGGATTTACTTATAATGTTATGTTTACTTATTATACATTTTTATTACAATATATCTTTTTAGTGTAATTATAGAAAATTAGTCCGTTAAAATTGATTTCAATATTTAAAACATTAGTAGTATTAGTATTAACATTTTTAAAAAATTCGTATTGTATTTCTTACTTAAGAAGTACAAATTATATAGTCGGATGTATTTCGCCTTATAAAGGGTATAAGTGCAGTGGCACGCGCCAACAGCGAAGAGAAAACAAAAGAAATCAAGTAAAGGGGAGAGAAGACTTGGTGCATTCTGTTTGAGTGATTGAAAGGGAAGCATCCATTAATTGTGCGCAGCAGAGTTACTTTAGTCGTCTCTTTAAGTTAATATAATAAAGTCAGGTAAGTGCTACGTTAAGTTTTAGATGTTGTGCATTGATCTTAGTTTAAAGTACGTAAATTTTGAAGGTATTCAATGGGTTCCGTTAGCCGAAAGTGGATGACGAAATGTTTTGATCCAATAAAAATCCTGCAAAGGGTTAAACACAGCTATAAAAGGTAAATATACAATTAAACAAATAAAACGCATTTTTTAAACATATGTTTTTTCAGGAGCGTTGGCCAAGGATTCAGAGGACCCGGACAAAGGTTTAAGAACGGCGATGACTAACGTTTAAAATAAGCTTACGAAGCAAAAAAACAGAAACAATAATTGTACAATTTTTGAAAATCTAAATAATACCATATAATTAAAATGAATTAAAATGAAATTAAATATGTATGTATTTTAAATTCTATATTTTTATAATTGAAAACTCAAGGAGAAATTCTGATTTTCTTAAGTGATTCACTTGGGACGTGTCCCTTGCAAGTGATTTCACAAGTGAAAACTCAAGGAAGAATTCTGATTTTCCCAAGTGATTCACTTGGGACGTGTCCCTTGCAAGTGATTTCACAAGTGAAAACTCAAGGAAAAATTCTGATTTTCCCAAGTGATTCACTTGGGACGTGTCACCGGCACGTGACAGGCCATACGAAAAATGAGTATAAGGAACAAGTGAAATCCCGTAGAACTTCGAAAAATTTTCATTTGAATTTTCACTTGTGAAAATGCGGACATCCCATACAATTTTCTATATGGAGCGTCACTTGTTCTTCACTTGTGCACGAGGACATGTCCCAGGTGATTCCCAAGGTGATTCACAAGTGAAACTTTTTTTTTGGAACTGAAGGGATCTGTCAGAACAGTCGTTCCGAATTCTCGTTATTTCCTCGCACATCAAGTAGTTGATGTGCAACTGTTCCATTTCCACATACTCCAAACGTAGACCGGAGCTGCAACGCTAATAGCGAACACAAGCGGACTGCTTGCAATTGCCATAACGGGAAAACGGAGAAGCCACTGCGAAATATAATTTTTTTTTGGTTTTTTTTAAAGTCAAGTTAAATAAATTCCATACGATTTTTCGTATCTTTTTTTCTCTTGGAATCCACACTTAAGGACAGACTTTTCCGGGCGGGTCTAATTTTTACAAAGCAACAAGGGCGGCCCAGATAATCGGAGTTCTGGAATGCCAGGTCCAAGCCCAACAGCCCCAAAGTCGATCACAAAGGCAAAGAGCGAAACATCCTTAGCCACCCAAGAAGACGACAAGAAGCTGTCTGTTCCTACGAGCAATCAGAAACGATAGTCTCTGAGTCCGCTCACGCCAAAGGTTAGGCCATCAATCCAGACCAAGTCCGTAAAGTCGCTAACAACTCGTTCGCAGGAAAAAATGAGTAACGAAATTGCATTTGCAGCCCTCGCGCGGTTCATCACGGTGTCCGACCGTATGAGCCATTTCAGAGCGACGATTGAAACTCTTGGGTCGTCATCTCCGTCCGTCCACACCTGCAAAGTCCGTAAGGAACAAGTCCGCTCACTCTGGGACAAAGCCGAGAAAAAATTTGAAGCGTGTCTAGACACGATTTCCAGCGTTACGACTGAAGGGGCGGAAGAGATTCTGGCGACTTTGCACCGAAAATATGAATATTGCTATTCGGTGTACGAGGAGCTAGCGGTTCAGCTCAGTGAGCTTATCGACCGAGCCAATTCTCAGCATCCGCCCACGAGCACCAACAATCAGTCCACTTACATTCCATCTGCGTGCCGGTTACCGCCGTGCGATACTGAAGTATTCGAAGGGCACTATCTGAAATGGCCAACATTTATGGATCTTTTTACAGCAGTTTATGTCAACAATTTTAGGTTGACATCGGTCGAAAAACTTTTTCATCTCAACGCTAAAACTAGCGGCGAGGCTAAGGCAATCGTAGCCAAGTCCCCTCTCACAAATGAGGATTTTGATTCAGCATGGGCAGCGCTTCGAGACCGTTTCGAAAATAAGAGACTGCTAGTAAACAGCCAACTCAAACTCCTTTTTAATTTGAGTTCCGTAAGTTCCGAATCTGGCCAGGCTTTGAAAGACCTGCAGAGCACAATCCAAGGGTGTCTAATAGCGCTGGCTCATTCCAACATTTCCACAGAGAATTGGAACTGTCTCCTGGAATTTCTGTGCGCCAGCAGATTACCAAAATTGACCCTCTTGTTATTAGAGCAGTCCCTTTCATCCAAATCCGACATTCCGACCTGGGATGAAATGAACACGTTTCTTAGCGACAGGTACCGAACGCTAAAGGCGATTGAGGATATGAAACCAAGCACCAGCACGCTAAGAGTCAACCCGTTTCCAGGAAGCTCAACTCCTTCGAAGCTAAGGTGGTCACAAAAACAAAGAATTGCGATCTGTGCTCAAAAGAGAGTCATCCAGTGCGCATATGCCAGCGTTTTCTCCAGATGTCTGTGGATGCACGAACGAACTACATAAAAAAAAGCAGCTTTGCCTAAATTGTTTCGCGAGAGGCCACCAGCTACGTGAATGTAATAGCACTCACAGCTGTTTCAAATGTCGAGCGTGGCATCATACACTGTTGCATAAAGGCAACCCCAATTCCCGTGGATCAACTTCCGCAATTAGTTCTTCAGCAGGCCCACAAAATACAGCTGTACAGGGGGCCGCCGGCGGTTCAGAAAATCTGCCCCGTGTGCAGAACTATTTAGAAACCGGTTCTAGAGCGGTTTTGCTAGGCACGGCCATTATTGACATATGCCACTTGGGAACGAACTACAGGGCTCGCGCTCTGATAGACTCGGGTTCTGAAGCTACGTTTATTACGGAACGCCTGTTCAATCTGATTAAGCTGCCGTTCCGCCATATCCAAGCCCAAGTTTCAGGCTTAAATCAGACCGTTTCCGCTCAGGCGACCAGGCTCTGCCATTTTTCTATTCGAGCCCCTAATAAGCCAGGCCTCTAGCTAGAAACCGCAGCTTACGTTTTGCCTGAATTGGCCGGAAAGCTACCATCTTACCCAATCCCACGAGATGCGTTGATTGATTTACCTGCCATTCCTATGGCAGATCCGACATTTTTAGAGAGTTCCCATTTTACCGTCCGTGTTGCTGAGCGGCACGCGCAAAAACATTTGCGGTTCTCTCCTAGGTCAGGAAACTATTTTCGGCTGGGTGCTTTCCGGCCCAGTTGCTAGTACATCGAGCCAAAAGCGGGTGTCAGCTTTCACGACCCAGATAACCGAAACGAGTGACAGGGGCCTGGAAAAACTTCTCACTAAGTTTTGGGAGGTGGAGAACATACCAACTAAGAGGTTAAAAGAATCCGATTCCTATTGCGAGAGCAATTTTCTCCAAACCACCACTAGAGACGCAAGCGGTAGATACGTGGTAACTTTACCGTTTCGCGAACCCGAACATTTCGGATCCAAACTGGGGGGCGATCCATTGCCCTAGCTCAGTTTCTTAGAAAAGAAAACCGTTTGAAAAGAGACTTTCCATTAAAAGAGCAATATGACTCAGTCATTGAAGAGTATTTGGATCTGGGTCACATGAGAGAAGTCCCCCCGTCTTACGATTCTCCAAGCTATTATCTTCCACACCACGCGGTGGTCAAACCTGAGAGTACCACCATCAAACTTCGCGTGGTATTCAATGCTTCTAGCCCTTCAGCAAATGGGACAAGCTTGAACGATATTCTTCATGCTTGTCCAGTCCTACAATCTGATTTAACCATTCAGGTCTTGAAGTGGCGTTATTGTATGTAGATCTGGGTCGATCTCAAGCATACGCCGTTCCAAAGAATTTTATTCCGGAATAAAGAAGGAGAAGTAAGCGATTTCGAGCTAAAAACCGTCTCCTTTGGTGTCAACTGTGCACCGTTTCTGGCACTCCGCGTACTCCAACAATTGGCAGATGACGTAGAAAAGGACTTCCCTAAAGCAAGCAATATTGTTCGGCATTTTATGTACGTAGACGACAATCTGGCAGGCGCCAATTCCATTCAAGAGGCTCAACTTGCGATCAGCGAGCTTCACCACGCTTTTAATCGCACCGGCTTCCCGTTAAGAAAGTGGACAGCTTATCAGGAGAGCATACTTGAAGACATCCCAAACGAGCATCTACTCCACGACGACTTTCGTAACCTTAAGTCCGAAAGTTTTGCCAAAACACTTGGTGTTCGGTGGAATGCGACCTCGGATGAGTTCTATTTTGTCCCACCGCCAGTTTCGATTGAATCTACTTATACGAAGAAAGAGGTTCTTTCCCAAATCGCGAAACTTTTTGACCCAGCCGGATGGCTGTCCCCCTTTATTGTCCGCTCAAAAATCTTTATGCAAGAGATTTGGTTGCAAGAGTTGGGCTGGGATGAAAATATCTCCGCAGAAATGAATCAAAGATGGCAAGAATTTTTTTCTGAGCTTGAACAGATCCGTATTCCAAGGTGGGTTGGTTTCCAGCCAGAGGTAAAGGTAGAGCATCATGGTTTTTGTGATGCGTCGCAGAAGGCTTATGGGGCCGCAATATACTTGCGGGTTGAAGTAGGCCATAACATTATGACACGTCTGCTTACCGCCAAAACCCGAGTCGCCCTGTTAAAACGGTGTCCGTTTCACGGCTAGAGCTGTGTGGGGCAGTGTATTTGTCAGAAATGATCGCAGCTATCCTTCCGAATATGCCAATTTCCAATTCCGACATTTTCTGCTGGACTGATTCCACCATCGTCCTCGCAAGGTTGAATAATCCGGCATGCCACTGGACCACGTTTGTAGCCAACCGAGTGACCAAGATTACTCAGGTGACAAGCGCTGAGCATTGGGCGCATGTGCGATCTGAGCACAATTCCGCGGACCTAGCCAGTCGAGGCGTGTCGCTGCGGGAGCTGGTTCATAGCCAACTCTGGTGGGAGGGACCGGATTGATTACAACAGCCAAAAGACAAGTGGCCAACACTGGGGCTTGCACCTCCAGTCACAGACATAGAGCAGCGCGCTCTAAAGGTCAACTTCGCAAAGGCCCCAGCCGAAGATTTTCTGGAACGGTTCTCCAAGTTGGACAAGGCTCTGTGGGTCCTTGCGTACTTGTTACGGTTCATTCAACGCTGCCGCAAGATGCCGAGGGGCCCAGCTGATCGGCCTACCAAGGAAGTGGTCCGAGAAGCTGAAAGAGCCCTGATTCTATATGCCCAGCGGGAGGAATATACCCAGGAGCTTAAATTCCTAAACGATAAGCGTCCAATTCCAGTTTCCAGCCCGATAGCCAACCTGTATCCCTTTCTAGACCAGTGAGGCCTGTTAAGGGCATGTGGTCGCATTACAGCCTCAACAGCCCTTCAGTATGACGAGCGGCATCCTACTATACTGCCATACAACTGTCACTAGCTCGTCTGCTCGTCCTTCTTTCACACCAGATTTCCCTGCATGGAGGCAACCAACTAGTGGTACGCCTTATCCGATCGAAGTATTGGATTCCTAAAATCAAGAATCTGGTAGAAGCTCTGCTAAACTCCTGTAAGGTGTGCACTATTTACAAGAAGAGAGTACAGACGCAATTGATGGGCGATCTTCCTACCGATCGAGTCTCCTTCTCCAGGCCATTTACATATACGGGCATTGATTATGCAGGCCCGTTTGAGATAAAGAACTATACAGGCAGAGCATTCCTTATTACCAAGGGATATGTATGCGTGTTTGTGTGTTTCTCCACAAAGGCTATTCATTTAGAGCCTACGTCCGACCTGACAACCGAGAAGTTCCTTGCCGCATTTGTCCGATTCGTAGCGAGAAGAGGGTGTCCTCAGCGGGTCCATTCGGATAATGGCAAAACCTTTGTGGGGGCAGTACTTTCTCGGGATTTCATGCAGACGATTAGGGAGTCTGTGACTGATACCTATAGCCATCAGGGGATCTCGTGGCGGTTCATTCCTCCAGGAGCTCCACATATGGGTGGATTGTGGGAGGCTGGAGTGAAAAGCTTCAAGGCACTTTTCTACAAGTCGACGTCAAGTCGGAAGTTTACGTTTGAAGAGTTCTCCACTCTTCTAGCCAAAGTTGAAGCATGCCTCAATTCCAGGCCGTTGTCTCCCATGTCCGAAAATTCTGCTGAGTTGTTGGCATTGACGCCAGGCCACTTTCTGATTGGGGGTCCGTTGCTTTCCACAGCTGAACCCGAAATTGAGGGCGAAGTCGATTATAAATCGCTGGCAACACTTAAAGGCCCTGCATCAGCAGTTCAGTGCGCGATGGAAAGAGGAGAACTTAAAAGAACTTCACAAGCGCAATAAGTGGCATAATCCTTCCAGAGATATCCAAGTCGATGATATTGTGGTCGTCAAAGAAGACAATATGCCATCAAACGACTGGCGGCTCGGCGAAGTTGTATCTGTCTTTCCAGGGGCCGATAGTAGAGTTCGCGTAGTCGAAATCCTTACCGCTCGAGGGACTATAACGCGTCCCATCCACAAGCTAGTACTTCTTCCTATGGAGGCCAAGGCAACCTCCGCTCTTCCACAATAGTGCCTTCTGTCCTCATGCTTCAAAATCCATTCACAATTAATCCTAAATGCCCTTATCTCTTTTTTTTATTATTCAAGCATTAAAACCATGGCTCCACGTCCTCGCAGCGCCCAAACTTTGGACGACAGACGTTCACGAGGTACTCGATCCTACCGCTGCAGAGTCTGTCGGGGAAATCATCCTCTACGGAAGTGCAACCATTTCCTGAGGCTCAGCACTGAGAAGCGGCTCCGCGCCGTTCTCATAAATAAATATTGTGCAAATTGCCTGGCCCACCAGCATTCCGAGGGAGTATGTCGCAGCGGAGACACGTGCAAAAAGTGTGGGCAGGACCACCACACGCTGCTCCATTTGCTCGAATCTTCCGGCTCGCGCTGCCGATCAATTTCTCCGCTCCGACCCTCGATGACGTCACCACGACCTTCAGCTTCCGGTTTACGCTCGCCAAGTCCAACGCCAAGCTCGCGGAACCATTCCCGGTGTTCCGACCAGTTCGACCAGCCAACTGCAGCTCCATCTGTGGCGTCTCTGTTGCAGCATCGGAGTGTGCAAATCATCCCGACGGCCGTCGTGGTTCTCGACACGGGAACCAATAAGTACGAGGCGGGGGCCCTGATCGACCCGTGCACACCAGTGAGCACCATCGACCGGTCGCTGGCCGCGGCGTTCGGCCATTCCACAACGAGCGTCGGAGACGAGACGGTCTGTTCGGCGACGATAAGGTCACGGACGGGCACCTTCAGAATCGACGTGGTGCTGAACGTTAGACCCAACTTCCGCACTCGCACTCCAATCCGCGCCCTAGCCGACAATGTTCGCGCTAAGTTCAACGACATCCGCCTCGCTGACGAACAATTTCATCGACCGGCGACTATATCCCTGGTGTTGGGCTCTGACGTGTATCGTGACGTCATCCAGCCCTGGTTCCTGAATCTGGATGAGGGGTTGCCTGTGGCACAAAGCACTGTGTTCAGCTGGATTGTCCCCG